TGCTGGAGCAGCTTATAAAACAGAGTGGGGTGGATCAAAATAAAAAGTATAAATAGGCAGCTCACGAAAACACAACGTACATGTGTTGCGTCCTGGATTGTGATAAGTGCTGTGGAAAAGGTGAGGTCAGGAGGGGCACAGGTTGTGGTGGGTGATGTGTGGTGAGGTTTAAGTAAAGCAGCAGGAAGATTCCAGTGGGGCGACATTTGAGGAGAGACCAGAAGACGTAAGAAAGCAAACTATGCCGGTGTCTGGGATAACAGCTTTCCTGGCAACAGCAAGGCAGAGGGGATGCTGGTGCAAAGGCCCTGACACGGGCCTGCCTGACTGTTCAAGGAATGGCAAAGAACAAGGAGGGGAGCCGCAGGAATGGAGGGGGCAGCAGGAATGGAGGGGGCAGCAGGAATGGAGGGGGCAGCCAGAAGGCAGAGGAGTGGTGGGTGAGGGGCTTGGAAGACCATTGCAAGGATTTTGCTGAGAGGGGGCATTGCAGGATTTTGAGCAGATGGTGTGAGCTGGTTTGGGCCTTAACTAGGTCACTGATTTAGTCTTCTATCTAAAACAACCCAGAAAAAGACAAAATATAAGAAACATGTTTTTCAAGATACTGGACACTGGGTGATGACGGACTACGGCTGCCTAAGAGATGGGAAACAAGCGACGGGAGCCCTGCACATGCTCCAGTTTACTGCCTCGAGAAAGTTCCGAGGCTGCTGTGCAGGAAGGAGAACCTGCGTGGGAACCACAGGCTCCACGAGTTAAGGAGACAGAGCTTAGAGACCGGGAGACCAGTGCATCGAGGATTTTCAGGATGGAGCACCAAGGACAGGGCTGCTCAGAGAGGAAAACTCCCCTAGTGACTCATCGCCACACACACGTGGGAAATTTCTGATTTTATTCATCTAAAAGAAACAGCTCTTTGTGTTAGTGACTTTGTTGTCTACGTCTCTGTCTTCATTTTTCTGGTTAACAATCTTTTTTAAAAAAGGGCTACACAGCCCGGCCGAGCGTGGCTCAGCGGTTGAGCGTCTGTCTAGGATCCAGGCCATCACGGTTTGGTTCCCGGTCAGGGCACATGCCCGGGTTGGGGGCTCGATCCCCAGTGGGGGGTGTGCAGGAGGCAGCCGATCAGTGACTCTCATCACTGATGTCTCTCTCTCTCTCTCCCTCTCCCTTCCTCTCTCCGAAACCAATTTAAAAAAGGGCTACATAAAAATATTTTAGGCTTTAAGTTCCTGTGGTCTGTGCCACAACTATCCATCCTGCGGTTGTAAAATTGGAAAGCCTCTAGCAAGACAGATGGGGGAAAAGAGAGAGGACACAGATGAGCGATATCAGGAATGAGAGGGGCGACGTCACTGGAGTCTTCAAATAGTAAACAGATAATAAGGGACTATTATGAACAACTTTACACCAGTAAAGTCAACAATTTAGATAAACCAAATTCCTTGAAAGATACAAACTTCTGAAGCTCACTCAAGAAGAAACAGATGTATATGTTAAATTAAATTTGTTATTAAAACACCTTCCCCCAAAGAAAAGTGCAGGTCTAGGTGGCTCCACTGGTGAATTCTACCAACATTAAGAAATAAGTAATAGCACCTCTACCCAAACTCTTCCAAAAATTTTTGAAAAAGAGGGATACTTTTCAGCTTATTCTGTGAGGCAGCATTATCCCGATACCAAAACTGACAGACATTCTAAGAAAAGAAAATGGCAGACCAGTACCCATTATGAATATAAATAAATTTCTCAACAAAACTTTAGCAAATTGAATTCAACAATATATAAAAAGGACAATACATCATGACCAGTTGGGATTCCAGGAATGAAGGTTGGTTTAAGATTTGAAAATTCATCAATGTAATTTATTATATTAAAAAACAAAAAAAAACAAAAATCATGTGATATCTCATTAGATACAGAAAAAGCATTTGACAAAAATCCAACATCCATCTCTGATTTAAAAAAACAGAACCTCTCAGAAAACTGGAACTAGGAGCGAACTTCCTCAGCGCGAGAAGGACGGGACACAAAACCTCCAGCAGGCGCGCTTTGGCCACGGGGGAAGCAGGGCAAGGATGCCCGCTCTCACCGCTTCTGTTTCACACCGTATGCTGAGGCGTAGTCAGCGCAGTGACACGCAGGAGAAATAAGAGGCACCCGGATTGGAGGGGAAGAACTAAAACTGCCTTTATTTGCAGATGGTACGATCGCCTCTGTAGGTGGCCGGCCCGTCAGCAGAGAAGGGGCGATCTGTTCAGCAGATGGAACAACCGCCCGCCCTGGACAACAGGGCGAGCTCCGACTCATCCCTCGCACCATATACAAAAACTCAGATCTCGATGTAAGTCCTAAGGCTATGAAACTTCTAGAAGAAAACTTTTAGGACCTTGGCCTAAGGAAAGATTTCCTAGGTACAAAACCAGAAGCACGCTCAGTGAAAGAAAAGGTTGATAAATTGAGCTTTATAAAAATTAAAAACTTCTCTTGGAAATCTACTGTGAATGGAATGAAAAGAAAAGGCACAGACTGGCAGAAATATTTGCAAAGCATACATCTGATAAAGGACTTGCATTCAGATGTGTAAAGAACTCTCAAATCTCAATAATGAAAAAATGAACAATACATTTAAAAAATGGACAAAAGATTTCAACAGGTATTTCACCAAAGAAAATACCTAGATGGCAATTAAGTATATAACAAGATGTCCAATGTCATTAGTCATTTGGGAAATGCCAATTCAAGCACAATGCTGTACTGATACACACCCATTCGAATGGCTGACAGTAAAAGTGCTGACCAGACCAAGCGCTGGAGAGAAAGTGGAGGATTGGGAACTCTTGTGCACTGCTGGTGGGAATGCAAAGGGTGCAGTCACTTTGGAGAACAGTTTGTGGCAATTTCTTAAAAAGTTAAACAGCCGGGCTGGCGTGGCTCAGCGGTTGAGCATTGACCTATGATCCAGGAGATCCTGGTTCGATTCCCGGTCAGGGCACATGCTTACGTTTCGGGCTCGATCCCCAGTCGGGGGCGTGCAGGAGGCAGCTGATCAGTGACTTTCTCATCATTGATGTTTCTCTCTCTCTCCCTCTCCCTTCCTCTCTCTGAAATCCATAAAGACATTTTTTTAAAAAGTTAAACATACATATATGACATGAATACATAACTAAACATACATGAAAAACACATTAAAAGTTAAATACACAGTCCTAGAGCACCATGAGAGGGGAACCATGGGCAGGGGCATAGCTGGACCTGAGAGCAGCTGTCAACATCTGGGCAGGGCAGGTCCAAGTTTTATAGAGGAAGTTTATATAAAGCCTGTATAACTTGGGTGGCCCTCTTTGGGACAAAGAATTGAAAAATGAGATATTCCAATTAGGTACAAACTTGTAACCACAACAAGTTCTCAGAGCCTTGGACTTCCAGGTCCCTTTCTTCTGAGTCACCTTGAGAATCTTCCAGAAATGCTTCTGGTGGCATCTGGCTTCTCCTCCCCACCCAGAACACTCAGCCATCGCAGCCTTCATTGTCCATGTGGTGTGGGGCCCTAACTTATGGAGCTCTGTCCCTGCCTCAGTTGGAGCCCCACGCCCCCATGAATGCTGCCTGCAGCTGGCTGAGCTGTGGGGTCGCCTGTGCTCTTGGCAGGTGTACCTGCCTCCAGGGCTTCAGGCTCTGTTGTCTCTGCCTCAAGCTCTCCTCCTCGCCACCTCTGCTGCTCCAAAGCTGCGTGGACCCAAAGGAGCAGGGCTGTGTGTGTAATGAGGGGCTCCAGAAGGCACCCTAGGGCCCTGGCAGTCTTGTCGCCTTGCTCAGCACCCTCCTGAGCTTTGGGCCCCACTGACCTTTCCTGCTTCCCACCCAGAGTCCAGGCCCAACCCCCCCAGTGAGGACTCACCCTTCCCTGTTCCAGTGCTTAGAGCAGCCTAGTCCGTTTCCCAGTCTTCAGTGGCACTGCTGTGACCACTACAGCCCGACCCCAGCAGGCCAGCTTGTTTGTGGGGGATGGTGGAACATGGGGTGGGTGAGATCCCAAAGTTGGGGACTTGGAATCCCTGACTCTACTGTGCTCCAGTTTCCTCATCTGTAAAATGCAGATGCTAAAAGTACTTCCCTCAGAGTCGCTATGAAGGTTAAAGAATCTAGGAAGGCAGGTGTGTCTGTCAGCTTTGTTCATTTGAGTGCCTGCACCTTCTAGAAGAGTCCCAGGCAGGTACCAGCTCCTCAGTAAGCACTTGATTGTATCTGGTCTCCATCCTGGGGCTGGGCCCCAGCGAGGACTGAGTGTCCCCATTCTCCCCACTGCGGTCCCAGCCCCTTGGGAACATGGATCCCTGGGACTTACCCCACCAGCAGATGGTCCTGGTGAGGGTCTTTAGGCAAACACATAGGCGAGTTACATATTATGTGATGTGGGGGGAGCTGCATGAAGACAAGGACATTCTTGAAATCCCTTAAATTGCCTATGAAGTCAGTATAAAGGGTTTTATGCACATCCCCAAACCTGGTTCATTTCCATATGGAAGGTTAGTTCATTTACACGTGAACACACGAGACCCACTGGAGTCCCTGGCAGTTCACAAACGGCTGGCTGAGCTTTCCCTCCTCCCGCCTTTAGATAAGAGCCCAGAGCGTAGCTGGGAGCAGGACGGGCAGAATTTTGGAATTTTACTCCGGGTACCGAACTTCTCAGACCTGGCCTCCAGTCTGCATGCTTTTAAAAATAGTGCCCCGGGATGATTTTAATGATTCTGATTCGATACAGAAAAATTGCAAGATCAAGGAAGAAAAACCCCCAGAAGTGCCCCAAGGCAGATATGTGAGGTGTGAAGGGGCAGGCTGTGCTGGGCTGCTGCTGAAAGCTGTGGAGAGATGCTGTCTCCGCCGGGGCAGGAAGAGCTGACCGGTGTTGGGGCTGGAGAGAGTGCGTGGGGGAGGCCACCCCGTGTCCGCACAGGGGTCCCGTAGTAAGCCTGTGTCTCCCTGTCTTGCAGGTGGTGCCGTGGAGCGGGAGAAGGTGCCGGCCAGCCCCGAGGCGCTCCTGCTCATGGCCAGTTCTCAGCGTGACATGGAGGACTGGGTGCAGGCCATCCGCCGGGTCATCTGGGCCCCGTTTGGTGGAGGTACTGCCCGTAGCCCGCATGCTCACCCTCTAGAACCCTTGCGTCCAGGTAATCATGCCCCCACCCGCTCCTGGCCTGTAGGGCCCTGTCGCCCAGGACCCACTGGCTGTGTACCATGCTGCTTAAGACAGGCAGGCAGCCCTCAAGAGCTGTCCCTCGGGGCACCAAGCAGGCCCTGGCAGGGAAATCGTGCCTTTCTGCGCCAGACCCCTGCCCAATGCTTCGGGTGTGTGAGGTCTGCACAGGGGCCAGAAGTGAGCGCTCAGGGCCATAGCAGATCCTAGGAACAGTGTCCTGCCCTCTGCAGTGCCCTCTGCAGACAGAGGCCCCTGTACCGGCCACGACACCCGCCCGTCCCGACAGGAAGGCAGCAGCTCCATTCCCTTCCTCCTCTATTCGCAGCCCTTACTGGGAGCCTAAAACGTAGCGGGTTTTGTCCTAGACACTTGCGGTTCAGTGGTGAGCAAAGTAGGTAGTGTCTCTGCCCCCCTTCCCCGGGGTGTCCTGTGTGAGACAGCAGGTGCGTCGCGTGTCACGTGTTATCCAATGAGGAGCGCAGTGAGCAGTGTGCAGCCGCACGGGAGGACCTGTGTGCGTGTGTGCGTGTGTGTGTGCNAGTAGGTAGTGTCTCTGCCCCCCTTCCCCGGGGTGTCCTGTGTGAGACAGACAGCAGGCGCGTCGCGTGTCACGTGTTATCCAATGAGGAGCGCAGTGAGCAGTGTGCAGCCGCACGGGAGGACCTGTGTGCGTGTGTGTGTGTGCGTGTGCGCGCGCGTGCACGTGGGCGCCAGCTGGGCCTCCCGGAGAACCCCAGCAAGAGCGCACAGCCGGGACCCGCAAGTGCATGGGTCTGAGGTGGGACTGGGCAGCGGGAACACAAGGAGCCTCGGGAAGGCCAGCGTATCTGAGGGAGTGAGGACGGGAGAGTGGGGCCCTGAGGCGAGAGGTCTCCAGAGCCTGGGGACATGGTGGAGATTTCAGATTTTGTTCTAAATCAGTGGAGCATCGGGGAGGTCTCTGAGCAAGAGACAGACAAAACTGGACTTAGATGTATAAAAAAGCCCTCTGGCTGCCTTGTGGGGGTGTACTGTAGACAAGAGTGGACACAGCAGTTGGGGACAGTCATGGGACAGGGTCACGGGCCAGGCAGCGAAGAGTGGTCAGCTGGGGGCATGTTCTGCAAGTGGCGTTGCCAGATTTGCTGATGGTCTGACATGGGGCATAGAGAAAAGAAAGTGGTGCCCATGGGCAGCTGCTGACTCTGTGGGTTGGTGTCTCTATGAAGTCATCATGCAAAGGGCCTTCAGGAGGCGTTGCCACACCGGCTAAGCTGGGGCCACCTACCCCTTGCTGAGTGTGCAGACCAGGGGCCTCAGGATGCTGAGTTCTGACCACAGGAGCCACGGGAGTCCTCTCTCCCCACCCCACAGTGCTGGTGCCCAGTCCAGACAGAGGCCAAAGGTCATCTTTGGGGGCTCATGGCACATCTCCAGATCTTGCACGCCGCATGGGCTGAGCCCCTTCCTTCATGCCTCACCTTACCCGCTGTCCTCTCCCATTCCTGCTACAGATTCCTGACCACCTGCTATAGAACCACACGCCCCTGACCACTCTTATGTAGAAGAGTCGATATCACTTTGCAAGTTGTACTTTTTCTCTCGGGCTTCATAAACGGCCTCACACTGTTAACCATAGCCTCCTGCCCCCAACAATTGCAGCGACATGACCCACACCCCAATTTCATGGCCTGGGAGGACTCTGAAGCCTCCATGGCTTCCTTTGGTGCAAGGTGGTTGAAAGTGAACCGATAGGACAGAATAGGGCCCAGAAGTAGACTTCCATGTGGCTGGACGTTGCTTTATGACAGGTGGCACCTTTGAACACTGGAAAGAGGAGAACATAGCCGTGATCCTGGGGTAGAGAAAGACTTTTTTAATGAATTACAAAAAGCATTAATCTTGTAAGAGAAGATTGACAAATTGTACTACATAAAATGAAGACCATCTGTTCTTTAAAAGGCAGATGGAAAAAATGAAAAGATAAGCTCTAGAGTGGGAGAAGGTGTTTGCTACATATACGACCATCAAGTGACTCACACCTCAGACTCCTGCAAACCAGTAAGGCCAAGGCAGGCAAGCCAGTAGGAACATAGGGCAAGAGACTGAACGGCCGCTTCACATCCTCGTGACCAGTGAGCAGAGGCACGGGCTCAGTCTCGGGTAATCGGGGAAATGCAGATTAATCCACAAGGCGGCACCCTTCTTCTCACCTGCCCGTGTGACTAAATGAAAGGACCGCAGGTTCCAAGCGGCAAGGCGGGTATCGAGCCACAGACACTGCATGTATTGCTGGGGAAGCCGTGGGCAGTATCTGCAGAAGTGGGTGCTATGCACGCCTATGTTTTAGTGCCTCTACTGCTGGGCATGCTCACAGGTGTGCCAGGAGACGTCTGCGTCAGACACTCTCAGCAGCCCATTGATGACGGCCTGACGCCAACCAAGCGTTTAACAGCAATACAGCAGATACAAAAATAGGATTCTTTCTTACAACAGAAAACTCAACAGTGAGAATGAATTACCTACAGCTCTACCCAGCATGCCTGAATCCTAAAAACATACTGTGGGACTGGGGAAGCCTAATAATGTGCTTTATAATTCCAGTTATATAAAGTTACATAAAGTTGAAAAACAAGGCAGAAGTAAACTATTTATGGATAGCTAATTAGGCAGCAAAAATATAAAGAAAAGAAATGATGCCATAAAAGTCAGGATGGTAGTCAGTTACACAGGTGTTCATCTTGCACTAATGTCTTTTCTGGATGTGTGCATATTTTACTATGTAAAGAATAAATAAATAAAGCAAAGCAGAGAAACTGCAAGTTAGAGTCTAAGTAATTGCTCATGACAGCTAGTCAGGGATCAGAGCTGAGAAATGAAGGCGGATGTTCTGAGCCCAAAGGCTGTGCTTTGTTTCGGCCCATGCAAGGCACTGTCACACGTGGTCTACCCACACCCCAGTGTGAAGGCTCCCTGCCCATGCCTTTCTCTCACTCTCTTTTCCCCCCATCTATCTATCATCCATCCATCCATCCATCCATCCATCCATCCATCCATCCATCAGCTACCCATCCATACATCTATCTCTCTCACTGTCTCTCTCTTGCTGTCTGCCTCTCAGCTTGCTCAGAATGAGGACCCTTTGCAGAATCCCACACAGAACTCAGGTTTGCTCCTCCCCCAGCTCCCCCCCC